CATCAATTGTCCGTTTTACTGGATCCCATCCCAATCCAGTTGATCCCCTTTTAAGCTCTTTCCAAAGTTTCCAGTCCTTCTTTAATTGATCTCATTTGTTCTTTAGTTTCATCATATCGTAATCTCTTCCAGTTATTTCTTTGAATTTAATTGTGATATTATGTCATCTTTTTTTATTAAAAAAAGTTGTGGGTCGATTTCCCAATTCGACTTCCCTCACGCATAAATCACAAAAAATATTAGTAGTCTCTCTATCCCACATAGCCGATGAACTAGAGTCTTTAGATTTACTCATCTTTTACTGTCATATCAACAGATGGTTAGATGACATTGTGACTGAAAATGAGACACTTAAGATATGCAATATGCATATGTAAAACAAAATTCAAAAAATATAAAGAATTAAAATATATATCGGTCTATGGGTGAAACATAAATGTGTTTTCCATATAACCATCATTTATGAGACCTTTTTTTTATTTTTCTCTATTATTATAGTACCACTGTATTTGAGTAATAATCAGTTGAAATTTGGAACACAGAGCATACAAAAAATTCTGAACCAATGCTAGCAAAGACAACCCAAATGACCATAGACCATAAAACATATTTTCTTCACCCAACTTTCTAATTCAAAACCAACAGCCCAACTGACATCATCATAGCTTGTTAAAATACATACTTGGAAAACCTGCTGCAACAACAATGTATTGGATCTACCATAATAAGATTGTCAATTTTCTTTCGTACAAGTAAAGACAGAGGTCTCATTGAAGCAAAAAAAGCTGAGTTACATAAATAGTAACACCTTCATTGAAGTAAGCATGCTTATCACCATCTTGGTAATAAAATATTCATTGAACCAGTGCAAACTATTTGCATAAATATAACGTGAGAGCTCTAAAATAATTATCACCCAAACTTTCTTTGTTGCAAAATCACATATGCAAGAAATAACAATAGAATGGTCCCAAAAACAGTACTGACTTCTAAGAAATTATGTGACTTGTTGAAGAAAGTCAGAAAACATGGCTCAAAGAATACCAAAAAATATGTAATACACTTCATTTTGCACAAACGAGCCGACAAAAAAAGCTCCATTTTTTGTTCAATAAATGCAATACACTCCATTTTAGAAATAGTAGGCAATCTAATTTCAATTGTCATTTGCACTATGCCATTTGACTTTGTTGAACATCATTGTTATTGCAAAGCACATACAATTTTCTTCACATAAACATGATCATATTTATCATATCCCATATCTTCTATATATTCATAGATAACAGTTCATCATATCCTCATAAAAAATAAAATATAAAGCAACTTCAATACCAAATCGTAGGGAGCAGAGAATTGCAATCAATATCTTATAGCCTCAACAAATACCCTAAAAGAATCAAATCGCAGGGAACAAAACATTGCATCAATATCATCTAGCCTCAATAAATATCCTAAAAGAATCAGTAACTTTGAATAACATGGAGACCATATGAAGAAAAGACGAAAATTTTTTTTTTGGTTAATACGAATATACACTGTTCAAAGAAAGGTTGGGATGGGGAATGGAGAAGAGAACTGTCAGGATGCTTCAAATATATCACAAAAACGGTAGATCTATATTTTTACCAGCGCTACTTGCATATTCAGAATAGATCTAGGTTTTAGCCACCTAAACACTTCCAAACAGATGGAAAGAAGGGAAATAGTGGAAAGAAGGGAGGAGCCGAGTGAGGAAAGAGTTTTGTTACCTGCGGAGCGACGGAGGCGAGATCGATGCCAAATATTCGAAGGAAGGTCGGCTGCGGGATTAGGAGGATAGCAGAGGAAAAAATGGAGCCCAAATGCGGATCGCGGGGATATACCCACGTTATGCGTGTAATATAACTTAAAAAAACTATTTCCAAAAACACATCTTAGATATCCAAAAGTTAGGGCACCGCACATTCACCCTGCATATACAAAGGCTCTCGTCGGCGTTTCAAAATCTGAATAACCAAGGCCCCATCTAAACCCTCTCTATTCTTCGTCGTTCCCGTGGGAGTGGTCTTTCTGTGAGAGAAGCGCGGAGAAGCGGGGAAAGGAGAAATGGATCGTCTCGATGAAGACTGGGACTTCAGCGCCGAGGAGCTCGAACTCCTGGAGCAAGATGCATTCAGAAAGATTGCGGAGAGGAAGTTGTCCTCAGCCACCGCAGGCTCCTCGTGTTGCTCCCCTTCCGTTTCACATCTTTCGCCGCCTGCCTCTGCTTCCATTTACAAACCTTGTCAAGCACCTCCCTCAAGAACTTCTTTGGAATCTCGATATGACAATGTAAGGCTTAGGGCTACACATTTTCCTCCTGATTTTTTATTTGCTCTGTTATGTGCCCTAGGTATTTGTTTGATTCAGTGATTGAACTTGATTTAATGGTTTCTGATCAATCGAGGGAGAAGTACCGTTATCTCAACCAAATAAGTTGTAGTGACTCAGGATTCCTGGTAATTTAGTGGACGAGTTACGGATAAAGCTGCTTTGGGCTACATTTAAGAGAGCCTTTCAGCTTGATATTCTCTGGTGATTAAGGAAATATTATGCTTTATTATAAATTATAAGTTTGAACAGTTCTTTGTTTTTAAGCTTTCCTGAAGTTTGTTTTCTAAGGCTGCAAACTAGTATTGATTTTATTATGAGAAAGTTTGGTTATGCTGTTCAATTACTTATACAATTTATTAAGACGAGTAATTGAGCCATCTGATGAAGAATTGCTGTGGAATTGAGTGTTCTTTGTGTTCAAACACTGCTAGCGATGAGATATATGGATGTTTTTGGGGGATTATGATGAAAAGGAAACTAGTGACAAAGTGAGCCCTAGAGAGAGAATTTTGTAAGGAGCGGGAGAGAGTTGTAGCGACTGAGAGAGGAGAGTGGGATCTTGGGGTTGGGGGGATGGGCTGTGCTAAGGCACGAGAGAAGCAAGAGGGAGGGGCTAGTTAGCACTGCTTTCAATTTCAATAATAATGATCTCACACAAGCTTAAGGCCTCATGGAAATTCATTTGCATTAAATGTCAACAGTGAATGTGGGATAAATTCAAATTTTCCTAGAAGGTTGAAGTCATTAAAGATGAATCTTAAAATGATATTTTTTTTATTTGACTAGTTTGATGCACTGAATCATATACCTACAATGCGAAGAACCATCATTTGTAGAGTTATTTAGGCAATTCTGTATGATTAGGGGCAATGTGCTGCAACTCAACACGAGAGATCCAAGGATGTGCGAGAAGGGAAGAGAGGGATATTTTCTAAAGCTATGGATGAAGTAACTCCCTCTAGAAAAAAAATATCAATTATAAATACAGGAGACTCAAAATAGCCTCTATAGGTTAATATACCATGAAAACACCACTAAAATGTAATTTAAGAGCAGTCATATCTTATAAGCATTTGTGCTTAATTTTTCCAAATTTTGAATGAGTAAACATATCAAGCATATTTGTTTTCGTTCGTTTTTTATTTTATTTTAAAAGGAGTCGTCAGCCTGTCGATCGTCGTATACTTCCCTTTCCCGAATAAATATCTCTTTCGGGTCATATGAATGACCTGAAGAAGAGAGAATCTGGAAAAGACGGATATACGACAAAATGACAAACAAAAGAAAACACGAAACGTGGAGAGCCTACGTGTAGTAAGCGGTAAACCTCGCAAGGATAGAGGATAGATTAAGAGTGTCCGCCCAAACAAGATCGGGCGAAAACACCTTAAACCGATATCCGCGAAAGAATACCTACGTAGATTCAGGTGTAACAATCTTAGGGCTAGAGATTCAGGTGTAGGTGTCTGTTATGAGGTCAAGAGCACTTCCAAGAGGACGTATCCCACTTGGTTAATTTGGTTAATTACATCTTGGGGGGTGGGGGGAACCCAAGAATACTCTCGATAAAAGGAGTTTCGCTTGGATTATCGTGAACCTGGGGTAATAGGTACTCAAAGGAAGACTATTTCGTGTGTGAATAGTCCCGATGCTTCAAAGCTCGCGCTAAACCATCGGACAGAGAGTGAATCTCTCACATCCCGAATGGGTAGCAGCTCATTGGCACACAGGACCCACAAAATAACCTAAATTATCTTAACGGGGATATCCCAACACGTCAAAACACGTTTGGGCCAAAGGGCAGAGGACAAATCGTCGTATCCCAAATGGGCGACATTTCATCGACATCGGGCCGTCAAGGTGATATTAACGAAGTCAAGGAGCGACATGACTTAAAGGGGCTCAACAAGAGGAATGCAGAGTGATTCTAAAAGGTAGAGGTAATTGAGCTGGGGTACCACAGACCCGTCATACACAGCTAGTAGGACCCTAAGTCTACCTGGTCGTGAAGGTAGTCGACCCAACACGTCATGAGATCCTCGGTCAACAATCCGTGAATTGCATCGCCCACGGGAATCTCGGTAGCCATAAGGTCAAAGGAAAGAGACTCAATCCTATTTACAAGCTGGAGCTCCATGAGGTGAGACTTATACCTGTCGATGTAGCAATGATGCCTCAAGAAAGAAAAGAAAGCGGAGGTTCAGCTACAAAGCTGGAAATGCTCCAAACAAAAGAGCTTATACCCCGTCTGGGTCAGGGAGCCTTCTAACATCCTAGACGCACTAGACAATCACCTATATAAAGGTATGCTGGGCTAGTCAGGTTGGAGAAATATGGAGATTCTTCCTCGAGGCATGCAAATATGACACAGTTAGCTCGAGCGGTCCTTAATTATTGTGGAGGCTCTATTAATATATGCAGGAAAGTAAAAATTGCAATTTTTAAATCTTGAATATTTTAATCATTTTGAATATTTTATTTAAGATTTTTTAGAAATTAGGAATTTAAGTCATAAAAGTCCATGTTCCATCGTGAAATCCTAGATAAATCACATAAAGAAACAATAAAAACACATGCAACATGATGCAAAAAATAAAACAAGCCAAATCATAATAATAAACATGCCGGTGCCGCTGAGTCGACAACATATCCCAGAAAAAAAGAAGAGCGAGCGGTCGGACTCCGCATATACATGCCCGGTCATAATTCTATACATCAATATAAAATGCAGAATTAAGATAGACACGGACATCTGCTTGTGGTCCCCTCCACATGGTTTCTGCTCCAAACGCCTCGAAATCCGTGCTCATATCTTATTTCTGCTACAAGATTCTCCTAGACTCTAAAAGTACATAAAGAAAAGAAAAAGACTTAATCCTGCATGAAAAAAAAGTGTCAGCGGGAAAACTCACAAGCAAATGACGTATTATGAGTTATGCCTTAAAAGTGGGGAGCTAAATAGCACCTGCAAGCAAAAGGGTCAAAAATCATTACTTGCTCTCCCATAGCGGTAGCTCTTTGTGTGTATATAAATAGACATGACTCCCTGCAAAAAAAAAAAAAACGCCCTAACACACGATCATACATATGCAGCACGCAGTCATACCACAAACACAATGCAAAAGAAAGATACATGGCTAGAGCAACCAATCTAATAAAGAACAATAGCCAGATATAAAAAAGACTACCTAACACCCTCAATCATAGCCTAACACACCATCTAACGAAATGTGTGTTAATTTAGTATCTAAGTGCGGGGTAGGTCTTTGTATAGTATGACTTTGACGGTGCGGGGTCGCCGTGCCGACCCCATCCTAAAGATCCGAAGGATCTAAAGGGTGTCATGAAGCGTGGTGACACGAGTTAGATCTATTAGATCTTTAGCACAATCATACTCGTGTCAATCCCGATGACTTAACTAGCATTGCTCACCGGGATCAACCCAGCAAGCAATTCTCGTTAAGGCATAGCGACCGACACGGGGTCACTCTTCTAACGAGTCTGACTCGCTATCTATGCAAATATGCAAATGCAAGTGTAGACAGTCATGTGACAAAAGTGATGAGTGTACCGTGTACCGTGGGGCAGTGACTTAGGAAAAGATGGGCATGTCGTAGAGACAGCGACCCGAACAAATGAGTGTGTCGTAGAGGCAGTGACCCGGAAAAGTGGGCTTGTCGTGACAGCGACCTGAAGAAAGGTGTGTCGAGACGACAGTGATCAAAAGTGACGTACGTGCCGTGGTGACAGCGGCCCGAAGGCGTGCCGAGACGACAGTGACCAAAATAGATGGGCGTGTCATGGCGGAAGTGGCCCGAAGAAGGTGTGCCATGGTGACAATGACCAAAAGGGATGCGCGTGTCGTAGCGGCAGTGACTAGAAGAAAATGCGCCAAGGCGGCACCAAAAGAGATGAGCTTGTCGTGGCGGCAACGACCCAAAGAAGTGCAACACAAACAAATGATAATGATCATGCAAGCTAACACATACCAAATGCAACATGCAAACAGACAAGTCTGAGATATAATACAAAAACAAACAAACATGCAAGCGATCGGTCGACCGGACTGTGGTGGCCGGTCGAACCAAAGTTATCGGTCGACCGGGCCGGAGCGGCATGTCGAACCAAAGTGACATACTCGTCGAGCCGGTGAGGTCGGTAGGAGAGAAGTGAAATGCTCGTTGGGTCGGGGTGACCGGTTGGAGCAAAGTAAGATGCTCACCAGGCCGAGGCGGCCGATCGGAGCAAAGTGAAATGCTCACCTAGTCGGGGCAGTCAGTGGGAGCGAAGTGAAATGCAACATGCTTCAAACAAAAATGCAATATGCAGCAAACCAATATACATGTAGCAAATCGGGCTCGTGCTAACTACCTCACATAGGTTCCTAGGGCTGACGCACTTGAATTTGTGGCATCGCCGCCTCCAGATTTGGCGTGGCAATGTGGATGGTTTCCCCCTCCGATTTCGTGTAGGGGAGACTCTCCACCGTTCGTAGGGTGGACTAGCTACAAAGCTTTTTCCGCTCTACGAACACCCAGGATCTTATAGGACGGACTAGCTACAAATCTTTGTTAAGACCTATCACTTTGGTCCTCTAAGATTGAACTCAACTAATCCCTCCAAGGAAGATTAGGAGCGCCAAAACCGTGAGAAATTGAGATTCCGACTCGGCTTGGTTAAGGCCTAAGGTTCACAACACGGGGGATCACTCGGCTTCGTACAAAATCTGTCACGCATGAGATTCCTACCCTACGACTCCCTCTAAGAAATCGACGATCAATCACATAGGTACGTCGCCGCGTCGACTCACGTCGGCGCATGCACCCCGTGTGGGCAACCGAAACTACATGCCTAAACACCACTAAAACCTAGGGTCAGCTAGGAGTTGGAAAATCCATCACCGTGATGGTTGCGGAATCGTTTTCTTTGCTTGCTCCAAGCTCGTCGACGTTCGATCC